GCGTTGTTACAAATGGGCACATAATATGTCAACACGATTGGTTATAAACCTTAAGTCGTGTGCTAGTGAAGAACTTTAGGTTTTATTCTTGATCAGTTCTTGAGACTTTCAAGACCTTTAAGACTCCCACTGTCCTTATGAACTATAAGACTCACTTGTCAAACATCCAAGAGATAGTGCGGATTCTAATCAACAAAAACACTTCACACAGTTGGCCTTAGTTGGTCTGTGTTTTATCCAAAACATCACAACTTACCAATTTCAAATGTACAAGACTAGAAAACTTTTACTCTTACATTTGACAAGTGTTTTAAACCTTCTTTAAGACATGTCACTCAAGTTACAAATTTAGAGTATAACTCCAAGACTTGTATTGGAACGAAGTATGACTCATCTTCTTGATTTAACCACTTCAACAATTCATCACTCTTCTTCTTAACTATCAGAATGCACTTAGAGGATGACTTGTGATAAGGTCTCTAAATCATTAAGATGATCATAAAAATGATACTAAAGTACTCTCCCATCTTTTCAGATTTGAGAAACTTTTATGTTTCTGCCTAGGTTGATTCTTCTTATTCGCCCTGCCATACGTTGGAACCTCTTTCCAATGTCTCAGAATTACACTTAAGCTTGTAAGTATAACCATATTTACTGAGCTATAGTAAATTATGATGAATAGTCTTATCCATCTTTTGTGGTAGACTTGACCAGTGCATAAGAATGTGTACTTGATCCCTTAGTCTTTCACTTGACTCACACATCCATGTGAACAAGTAATTAGTCTTAATTTTTCCAATACTTGAAAGTTCTCATTCATCATGCTATACAACTTGCATGATTCCAAGTCCTGGTCCAATTGAAACTTGGGTGATGAGAATCTTTTCTTATTTGGTAAATTTAGACATTACCACAAATGAAAGAATCAATTTCATATTTCCACTCTTGCTATTAATGGAATCATATAAGCAACAATTTTTCCTTAAATGCCATCGTAAGGATATTTTAAAATAAATAAACTCATCATTTTTCCTTTTATTTTAAAAACTTAGCGGAAAAACTTATCCTTACAATCCATATGAAAAGCTTGTTGTTATCTATTCGTAAGCAACATCTCATAACTCCTAAGAAGTAGCTCAAGAATCCGATCTTCAAACTACGCGATAGAAATCCATCTACGCGATCAGATTCAGCACATTCTTTCTTTAAGTTTTTTCACTTTTCTTTGATTCTTAAAACATCACCATGTGACCCAGTCACATCATGTATCAAGAATCTTAGAATAGAAACTTAGCAGAGTTAGATAGTGGACTTTACCTGAAGTAGAGTCAAACTTATTGACTTTAACATCCTTAGGTAAATTTGGCAGCTTCGCAACTAATGACCCTTCCTTTGGCAATATAAACATATGGACCCTCTGATAATGGTACACGGGACTATCACAGACTTAGCTTTTCTCTTTACCATTTAGTCAACCGAGTTGACTATGGTCGATCCCTTTCCACTGGGAAGAGAGAGCTTTACTAGATATCCAATGTCATCATTGTCAATGTCCATAAAGTTTTAAGAAGTTGATCTTAGCAAATAGATAAGATCATTAAGGGTCTTGTCATAGTCTGTTTCATAGGTGTTCCAAAAGAACTCACTATGTGACTTAGAAAGTAGTTGAACCACCAACTTTCTCAAGACTTTGACACCCTTCTCTCCCGGCTTTTCAATATGTGACTACATCTCCAAGATGTGATGACACCTAGACCTGGCCTTGCCAATAGGGCTTGAGTGACTTTGAACTTGTGGGTTAGGGAGAATAATTTGAGGAGTTGAAAGAAGTATGATATCCAAGGGACATCATCTTCATTTAGGAAAGCTTGTTTCAAGAGATTTAGGAAGATCATAAATGTCTAAACCAAACATGTTTTGGGAGATATTCAAGATAGGTGATCTAAAGTCCTTAATATGACACCCAATCTGAAATATTAAGGCTAGGACCCAACAAAATATTTTATAACTTAGAAGAGGGATGCCGTAATCCAAGCTATAAAATATTTGAAGGTAGGTGAATGACGATTCAGCAATTTCCACCATGAAAAACGAAATAATAATTAGGTTTTAATCGGTTTTGAAACTCCTAGATCTTTGAGATTCATTGAACTGTTCAATGGCATGTTTCAATCTCGAGTGTGCCCTTCAGGTTTTGTGACCGGGATGCTGAGGATCACAAAACAAGGTGTGAAGTAACCATGCAAATTACTTGGTACCCTTAAGTGTTTACCCCTCAATCGATGTGTCGGTTAACCACACACGCTCCATCGATACTATGATAAACATTAAGTTACCCTTTGCCTACCTTGTTAAATACGAGTTAGTGTGTCGGTTAACCACACACGCTCCACTAACCAACTTAAACAAAGTGAAAAGTGTAATTTCATGGATTAGCACCTTATTCACATTTTCCTAAGTAACTAAGATCGGGTATTATTAAGAGTTTAGTTACTTAGTATTTATCATTAATACTTTTAATGACGGGAGAATTATAGTCCTGTCAAACCCGTTCGGCTAACGACGCTCCACCAGTCAAGCAAGCGGTGGGTGAGAGTGGACACTCATTAAGTTGCCATTTTATAGGCAACAACCTTATACTCACCTTATAGACCGGCTTCGTGAATGAGGCGTACTAGTGGTAAGACTGACTTTACTCTTATACATATATATATATATATATATATATATATATATATATATATATATATATATATATATATATATTACTAACTTATAATATTATAAAGTATAAGGGTTGAATTTTAACTCTTAAAATTCTAAGGGCTAACTTGGAATTAAAGTATTCATAAGAGAAAACTTTACAAATTCCAAAACTTGAGGGCAAGTTTTGAAACTATTCAAAACTAATTAATTCCATAACTTATGTGTTTAAAGTAGTTTTAATCCAAAAACTCTTCAAGTTCCATAACTTGAGGACAAGTTATGGAAGACTTTAAACTAATAAAAGAATTAACTTTTCTCTATTTTATAACTAATGGAATTAATTAAGGTTGCACTTTTTTTTTTATTTATTATTTAATGAAGACACTCTAGGTCCTCCATAACTTGAGGACAAGTTATGGAGTCATAAAACCATTTAATTAGAACTAGACTCTTCATTTTGTAACCTTTGCCAACTTTTATGAGTTTTATGAAACTTAAATGTGACTTTTCATATAACTTGAGGACAAGTTACAAAAACACATTTTAGAATCAACTCTTAGATTAATTTATATTGAAAACAACTATTTCACTCAACTTTTCTATTAATCTAAGCAACTCATAAGAACAAGATAATTCAAATCAAACTTTTTCATGTAATTAGTCTAAACCTTAAACTAATACAAAACATTAATCTATTGACAATTATCTTTGAAATTGGATTAGCATGAACATTACCACGTCAGAAACAAGTTTATAAGTCCAAAAACATCTTAGGGTAATGTTCCTAGTCCAATTCCAGCCAAAAAAGTCAAATTTATGTTGTCTGGGGGTCCAACTCGTCGAGTGCACGAACCAACTCGGCGAGTTGGATGCATTTTGCCTTGGACTCGGCGAGTCTGCAAGGCAGACAACATCAAAACTCGATTTTTTCAGCTCCATTTGCAAGTATAACAAGAAAACAAGCCTAGGCTCTGATACCACTGTTGGGTTTTAAGCATTCTAACACTCCTAAGTGTACATGCAACCCTAAATACCTTGGATCTATGTTTTCTCTAGTATACATGCAAATATGAACATCCAAGGCATTATCCTAATCTAGCATAAAAAACAATGATTGTAGCAAGATAGATTACATACCTCATTGATGTAGAAAGTCTTCATGAAGCTTGATTGCCTAGTGCCCCAAGTGTGCCACCTCAAATGGTTCAAACAACACCAAATACACTTGGAATAACTTTAGAGAATTCTACACTCATGAAAATCGGCTAGCCCTTTCTTACTCTCTCTAGTCACCGATTTTGGTCAAGAATAAGATGCTTATATAGTTAGGGTTACACCATGTAAACCCTAATTAACATGGCCTTTCATTTCCATGATCCATGGGTACAAACACACCATGGAGCATCCATGGAGCATCATATGGGTTTTAGCCCAACTAGATAATCCATGGAGCATTAGCCCACTATATAAGTATGGATGATTTGTACAATCAACCCATATATTTAATTAGTCTTCTTTTGATCACTTAATTAATCCTAGATTAATTCTTGATCAATACTAATTAAATAATCTTATTATTCTTATTATTAATATATTAATAACCATAAGTGTCTTATTTCTCTCATTATAGTCTATCCAAATGCATGATGCCATGCAACCCAAATGGACCATGCCGGGTTGGGTCAAGTCTTACCAATTATAGTTATGGCCTTAGACATTAATCCAACAGTTATAGTTATGGGAGCTACTAGAAAAACAGCATTTTACGACGTGCAATGCATGTCGTAAATTGCTCAGACGACGCGCAAATGCGTGTCAAGGAAGGCCCTGTCATAAAGACAGACGACACGCTTTTGCATGTCGTCTATTTACTACGTGTATTTATGGCGCACATTTACGACATGCATTGGGTGTCAAGGAAGGCTCTGTCATAAAGGAAGATGACATGAATTTGTGTGTCGTAACCTTATGGTGTGTTTTTAATACACACATTGCGTATCATTAAAGCCCCTATCATAAAGAAAGACGACACACATATTTGCGTGTCATAATTTTAAATGTTTTAAAAATTATATATTTTGATAGATTTAGTAATTTTCAAATTAAATAACACATTCAAAGTCTTATAATACAAAATAAAATAGAATAAATAAGAAAGATAATTCATTTTACGAATATGCCAAATACAAATTATCATTCTAATAGTAACTAAATGCAATACATTGCTAATATTGCATAATATTTATTATAGAAAAATGAAACTTGTACAACATTGAATGGAACCCATGAGTAATTTACCCTTTGACAATCTTCATGGCAACTTTAAGCATTGCAACCTCACCATGGTATTGAACTTCGCCACCACCAACCTAAGTAAAAAATGCGTATAAATATCAAAAATAAGGAGCCAATCATTCTATGACATAAGGAAAAATATCCCTAGAGAACTATGAAAAAATATGAAACAAATGAATGAAAGAGCATTGCTATTTCTTTAGTACTTACTGCATAGAGCAAGACTTGGCCATCATCCATAGTTTTGAAGGACATTGATGTCTTGCTATGCTGCACATATTAAAAATAAATAATAAAAAAAATGAGTAACATATGGATTCATCTATCTATCAATTGTATTGTAAATTGTAAATTGAATAAATAAGCATTAAGCATACATACCATTACATATGTAATGCTAGGAAAAAGGCCTAAGCATGTAATGGCTCTAACGAATGATTGATTATGACTCAATCTATTGTTAATCCCTTGATTTTGTCTCAAGTAATTGAGCATCTTTCAAAATATGGATAAACTGATTCCTTAAAGAATGTATAGCTTGAAGTGTTTAAGCAGAAAGGAAATTCCTCCAACAATATTCATAGGCACATCCTTCTCTTTCAGCTTCTTTCCATCCTTCATATGCACACATAAGTGCCATATGATCACTATAATCCATTGCAGAAAATCTTGATTTTGCTGTACTAGCTTCCTGAAATAAACATACAAAAGATATCAAGAAAAGTCCAAAATGCCCTTGTGTGAAAGTAGCTGGATTACTCACATCTTTCTTCTCTTGAGGCAAAAGAAAAGGATCCCTGACACTAATTCCAGCATTAATTGTAAGAATAGTATCAAAGCAACGAAAAAAAGCGCCCACTATCAGCATTTACCCTAATTTTGGATCCAATGGAAGTATTGCTAGATATTTACCTATATTTTAAAAAAATGAGAAAATATAATCTTAGGAAATAAACTTTTCTAAAAATATTAATATAAACTAACCATGATGTGTAAGATTTTCATTTTCATCTAATGCTCCAATCATCTTCAAAAAATCCACAACATTTTGGATCTAGAACAAATTAAAGTTCTATCATTTAACAATTTGAATCATTCATTAAGATTTAAGTCATTAAGAACATTTAACCCTTACAAGTAATGGCTCTGGAGGGTGCATAGCAGATGATAAAAACTCTCCAATACTTCCAACTTCCGAACTTATTATTTGCAAACAAAGAGAATTTAAAGGGGTTCTTAAAAGCTCGGGTATTTGATATTAATAAAAAGCATCATAAACACATCGAGGGTAGAGGTGGAAACATTCCCCTAGTTGCACACGCCCTGTCCTACCCCTTCTCTAAACTAACAAAAAAAGCAACATAAAAATTTGTCAACTACCATGACCAACAAAGTCAAAAGGTAAAAAGGTAACTTACTTGGCAAGCAGATGCTTGTGATATGCATGAAGGCAACAAACGAGGAGTGTTGTTCAAGGCATCAAAGGGTAAAAAGGTAACTTACTTAAAGAATCACAAGCTTTTGAGCTATAATTCTCAAAGTTTGATGGAGTCAATGTGTCCTAACATATTTGCATCAAAATTTAAACTTGTTTTAGTCTTTATAATCAAAAGTTAAATTAGAATCAACTTAATTTTACCCGAATCCAGATAAAGATTACCTCAACAAGTGATGTAATTTCATTTTTCCTTTTGCGTGGGATTAACTGTCTTTGTGTTTTCCATAAATTTTTTACCATAATCATCAATTTGGTTGAAAGAAGTTAATTTATAACCAGTTATCTCCAGTATATCTTCTAAGAAATGTGCCCTCATTGGGTGAGTGAACCCCTATATTCAAACACATGAAATTAGATTATTACATAACATAACAAGATAACAAAAGCACTTACAGGAATATGAATCATGGGTGCTTCTTGAAAATAATTGGAAAAAAGCTCAACACTCAATGTAGTAGTCATGAGTATCAATGTCAAATCCCTACATCTCAATAAGAAGTATGAAAATTAATAACAAATGATTTTTGTGATCTTTTTTCTTATTCCTAAACATATTGGATCTTTATATGCCCAATATATAGGATGCTGCAGGGTAAACTCAACTAAGCTCCATAGTTTAGGATGTTTTTACATGTAAAGATCTTCCTCGTGCAGTAGAAACCTTAGCCAACATGAGGCATTGTTTAACTGATGTTGGGGAGGTAAAAGTAAACCGACTTCTCATGTATCATTTATGTAAAAGAAAAACTACTTATAGATAACATCATAATATTACAATGATTTATCCACCTTTTCCCTTTCAGTTTGCTGAATTTGCCAACATTAGAAAGCAACTTGAAGTGTTAGAAGATAGACTGGACTCCACGGTTTAACCTCGTAACATATGCAATAACTAATCGAAAGGTAAATTTTGAAGAACAATATTTCTTAATTCACCAATATTTATCTATCTTTTCTTTGTTTAGGATAAGGTTGCACAGGAAATGAATGAAATCGTCATTCGAATCGGAAGATACAATTCCTTGGAGTCTCACTACACCAAAGTTCGTCTAAAACCGATAAGACAACTATGGGAGGATTATCAAATGAAGAAACAGTATACTAAAACAAGAACCGAAAGAAACCAAGTTGAAAGTATTTTAACTTCTCATGATTATCAATCTCTACCTACAGTGTCATTCCCCAATTGGCTACCAAGTTTCTATGATAAAATATTACTTTATCTTGAAAAACAATGGAAATGGTACACCTTTACTAAAGATTTGACTTACATTCTCATTTAAATGACTTATTAGTTATTACACTACATTATTTCTAGGTCTATGCGTGCTTTTCCTGAAGATTACAAGAATCTTTTCCCCAAGCTTTTAATAGAAGCAATGGTGGCTGTGGGTGCTAGCTATGTTTCACGCATCAACCTTGCAACTGGAGATGTAGTTCCAGAAACCAGAGCATTAGCCAAAGGCTATTATATTTATAATCCTAACCTCCATTACGTCTTTGATTTGACCACATCTTTGACCACATATATAACAATAGTATGTTACAATTTCAGGTGTATTAGATATCTGAAAATTAATAACAAATGATTAAAATATAATGAAATGAAATCAATCATAAAAGCTAAAATAAAGAAAATGTGTTATAAAATTGATCATCATTTGCAAGTGTTATAAAACGGACCTTCATTTTTGCCATTTCTTCCACATACTGCGAGTACATAAGTAGTATAATACCTTAAATGCCCTTAAAATTGCCATGTAGCATGATGTACAACATCATATGGTTCACTTATATCCTGATAAATAGAAACTTACACGAGATATTAAAAAAGGGTTGAATTCAGTGTACTTTCATTGTTTAGTTTCTTACAGAATTCCTACCTTTTGCTTTGGATGGAACAAGAACTCCGAACTCCTTAGATCAACAGCCTGCAACCAAAAGTCGATTCAGAAAATATTGAACCAAGAATCAACTCATTTAACAAATGAAAAAAATAGAATTTTCACCACGATGTTGAACTACAGGGTGTTCTGAGCCATAGAAAGTTAAAAACATGATGTAAATGAACTGAACCTAACACAATCGAGCCAGAAATGCAGAAACCTTAATAGAAAAGAAGATAGAAAGAGACCTCTAGAGGTTTACAGATGTTTTCGAGTTTATCCCAAAGGTTGACTTTCTAGGAAGTCGTCACCACCTCAACAACACCTAAGCATGTTTCACCATCTATTTCAAACACAGGGAGGTTGAGACACCTACAAAAGTTGATTTTTTTAGCATAAATCACGCATGGTCGTCCCCTTCTGCAACAATTCGAAGATCTGGTGTGCATGTGAGAAATTTCTTCATGAAAACGCGACTAGGGAAACTGATCATCTCATTAGAATCATACTTAACTTGAATATTAATCTAACCTAGGGCTTGTAAACTCGAGCAATCGTTGCAGCCTTTAGTGAGTTGAAGTGAGCCCGAGGTCGTCGGCGGAAAGAGATGAGCCGAAGTCAGAGGTGAGTTGAGGTAGATTCGGTAGTGGTGAAGGTGGATTAGGGTTTACAGAGAAAAGGGGAAGGAGAGATTGAAGGTTGTCGGCTGGTGGCTTGCTTGCGTTAGTCAATGTCGGGAGGGGAGAAGTAGGCGGTAGTCAATGTCAAGTAATGATGGTCGAAGTGTGAGGGAAGAAGTAGGCGGTAGTCAATGTCGGGAGGGGAAGGAAGGAGCGTCGATAATTAGGGAAAGAGGGAAAGGAAGAAAAAGGAAGGCGGGGTTTTTAATTTTTTAGGATATCATTCCCCCCCCCCCCCCCCAACTATTAAAGGCTGGAATGCGCCTTTCCATTAAATTTCATAAAGTGACATCTTCATACATCACACGTTTTATTATAGGCACCCTCCGTGTTTTATTTGTTTAGACACTAATTTAAGGGCACGCAAAAATGCGCATCCTAAATCCTT